CTGAGACCAGGCTGAGCCCCCCCCACTCACGCGCCCCCCCTTCCCCCCCGGGCGCCCCTCGTACCTGTGGTGAGGCGAGTGGACACTTCCCCGAAGGGCGAGGGCTCCATGCGCAGGTATTTCTGCGGGGAGGAGGCGAAGGAGGCCGCCGAGGAAGAGGAGGCGGCGGCCGCCGAGGCGGACAATGGGGTGCAGCGCCGCCGCTTCGGCGAAGCCGGGCTGAGCAGCGGGTCGAAATCCAGAGTCCGTTTTAAGGTGGCACCGCAGGCCATGGCCGGACTGGACGAGGGGCGGAAGGAGGAGGAAGAGGAAGGGGAGCGGAGGCTGAGCTGGTCGGGCCTTCCCTACTGGAAGGGAGAAAGCCAGTGGCCAGAACAGCCGAGCGGAGCCGAGGTGTCTGCGCTGCTGCCACGCCTCGCCAAGCTCAGGGTCGCCACCGCTACCAAGCCCCCCTCGCTTGCTCCGGCCGGCCGCCGGCTGTGCCTACGTCTCCGGGGAGCGGCCCGGAGCTCTTGGCCCGGTTCAAGCTGGACTTGTAGGCTCCGCCCGCGGCAAATCCTCCCCGGGCCGTATCCGGGAGGGTGTCTAGGCCGGTGGGCGCAGCTCGACGGGAGGCTACCGGGCCTGGGGCCGCCGATGACGAGCGATAGCCGCTGCGGTAGTCGCCGAGAGCCTCTCTGTGACTCTTCCACACCAGCAATATGGCGTCAATAACAACGCCGCTGATTCAAAAACCAGCACTCACCAACGCGCTTGCGCAGTAAGGGGGCGGTAACCGCCGCGAGGAGCTGTGGGAGTTGTGGTCTCTCTTGGAAGGGTTCTCTGTGAGTGACATAAAAGGGTGGTGGGAGAGAGGGAACTACATTTCCCGTCGTGCGCTGCGCCAGAGACCTGATTTCCGGAATACAATTTAAATCCCCATAGAGGAACGTGGTAAAACAGGAATGCAAGCGAAAGGCGCTGAAGGCATGAAAGCGTCTGTGAACCTCGGTTCTCTACGTGAACCAGAACAACAAAAACAAATGGGGTTCTTTCTTCAAGAAAAGGAGCAGGAACAAGCGTGGGCTGCGAATATTAGAAATGGCTAGTAGAATGTAACAGAGCCTACCACAACCCATGTGGGGGAAAAAAGGAAAAGCGTTTTCATTTACCTGTTCGTAAAACACAAAATTGATTGTCCAAAAACATAAATGCCTGAAAGAAAAGCAAATAAAGAGTGCCTGTACAGCAATAAGCCCAGGAATTGGCTTGACCCTGCTACCCTGTTCCCTAGCTGGGACCCTTTGCTGGTGAGGGGACAGGGGTAAATAACACTGGGGTTGTTGTTACAGATAGCAATTTCTGTAAATGACCTATACGAAAAACACAACTGTATGCTTTTAAATAGTGGCAGAAATCATACAGTTCTGATTTATATAAATAAGCTTTAAGGTGTACCAAAACAACACATGTCGGTTATATCAGTATGGAAATTGAACACTAGTATGTCTATTTCTTTACGTTTTGAAAGCCAAGGACAACAGATCAGTAAGATATCTTCTTGAAAAATCTTACTACTTTTGGGCTTGGTGGAAACAAATTTAGTCTTATATAGATTTTTTTGTTATATGCCGTCAAGTCACTTCCAACTTATGGTGACCCTATGATTTAGTGACTACCCAGAGGTTTTATCATTAACAGTCCTGCTCAAATGTTGCAAACTGAAAGATGTGGTCCCCTTATTACATTAATCTGTTTTGTCCTGGGCCTTCAGCTTTTCTGAGAATCCTATTTAGAGTATTCCATTTGAAAAAGTCTCATTGATTTAAACATAGCTGCTCAAGAACAACTAAGTCCCCCCCACCCCGAAAGTGGTTGTAGAGCTTGCAGTCAAACTCTGGAAAGGGTGATAGACTATATATGGTAGGTGTTATGTGTTGTCTAGTTGGAATCAACTTATAGCGAGACTAATAGGGTTTTCAAGGTAATTGAGATGTTTAAGGAGTAATTTTACTAGTTCTACTCCCCCAGTTAGTTCCATGGCTAAGTGAGGATTTGAACCCTGTTCTCCAGAGTGCTAGTCCGTCATTCTATCCACTTCACCACACTGGGAATCCCTGAAAAAATTGTGAGTTGATATAAATTGACACAGTGGTCTGCATTTTTAGATTGCCCTTAAGGGTTTGGTTATGGGGATGTGGAGATCCATTCCTTCGTTTTTGAAACTTAAGTTGACATCACTGTATAGAATCAACAACTTTCAAAAATGTTAAAGCAGGCAGAAATTCACTCTATACAAAATGTAATACACTTGAAAGAAGAGTAGGTCCAGAGAAAGTAAAGCCTTTAACTTCCAAGGAAAGTTATGCCCTGTTAAAAACCCAACAAGCAGTCATAAAGCAGTTGTATCTATGTGATATCATCCTTTATTATGCAGTACGGTGATGATGTATAGTCTTGATCATTTATTCCTAGGACATTAAATCTAGTGATCAAGGGGAAGTGTAGACAGGATTGAAGACATCAGAAACTGACATGTTTGCCTAGTTATCCACAAGTATGTGTTCTTAAAATGCTCTCAACCTTGGCCCTGTATTCAGTTCTGGGAATGTAGATTGTAATCACCCAGTTCTACATGGTGATCCCAAAATAAATGGATGTTATTTGTTTTTCAACTCAATGCAACCTGTCCCACTACTACAGTTGTGATGAGAAAAGCAGCAGTAGCAGCACTGATTACCTAAAGCAGTGGTTCTTAACCTTGGGTTACTCAGGTGTTTTTGGACTGCAACTCCCAGAAGCCTTCACCACCAGCTATGCTAGCTGGGGTTTCTGGGAGTTGCAGTTCAAAAACACCTGAGTAACCCAAGGTTAAGAACCACTGACCTAAAGAACACCACTATCATCAACAACTGTAGAGCTAGAATTAATCATATGGATCACTGAGTTCAATCTTGGCCAAGGAGGCAAAGTGGGGAATTTACCCTCTGGCCCTGCAGCCAGACACCTTAGCCGCTGAGCTACCCACACCGATTCATAAGATTGTGACATGCTTTAGATCAGGGATGAGTTGTGTTCAGATTTTGTTTCACTTCAATTCCCATTAGTTTTTTTCAACCAAATCCGGAATTATGGACTGTTGGATGGGTTGTGGTCCAACAGCACCTGTGGGGCTATACAGTACGTTTGCCAACCCTAACTTGGATCATAAGAGTTAAATAGTATGAACTAGAGTCAACCAACTGAATCTGTAATGCTTACATAAGCATTGATATAATATGTTCCATTCATTTAATGGGTCTGCTTTACTTGGGATCAATAAGTCAATTTAGGCATATTTTTCTTTAATTTACTTGTTTTTGTGCTTATACACACAATGCACAAACATGCTTACTTTCAGGTTCTGATTTTTCTGTACCAAATTGTTTTTGTAGCATCTATTTTGTCTAAAACTCACTGTCAGGGAATAAAGGCTAGAAAGAGTGGCTCCCAGGCAACTTTGTGATTGAACACTAATAATCCACCTTCCTTCTATTTTTTTACAAAAATATATGTATTTCAGCCTTTTGACTAGTTGATTTTTAGGTTTTCTTTCATTCTAATATTTTTGTGTAAAATACAATATAAGAAAATCCACAACAGTGTCACCACAAATGAAAAGAAGCCGCAGGTAATCAAACAGCACTACAACAGAAAATCAACATGAAAAGTCAACATAAGCTGCGTAACATGTATGTGGAAAACCGCTAGTCTGCTTAGTAGACTGGCTATATTATATCACATGTTGCACTGATGGGCTATGGCTGGCCAAGATTTTAGGCAAGAGTCTTTTCCGGTCATTTGTGGGAATGCAAAAGATGGAATGAAGAAATCTTAGTGCAAAACAAAATTGGCAATTAATATGTTAAAATAATGTGATGCCACTGGTAACCTGTTATTTGGTGGTGGGGGGTAATAAGTGGTAACAATGGTATTTTTTAAAGCTGCAACAACTGTTTACACAATTTCTTTGTGCTACAAGTTATATATATTGTATTCTGAATGCAATCGTGATCTCTGCAAGGTTTGGGGCCATTTGTCTATCAAGTGTATTTAAGAAAAAAATAACACTAAAGGCAAACCTTAGTAAAGTGTTGTTATTTAAATAGTAAAGAATGAGTAATGGTAACAAACTGCTTTTTTGAAATAAAAAATGATTTTTAAAAAAACAAGCTCAGATGTAACATACATGCTTTAGTATGGACCTATAGCCCTTCCCCCTAAGATCCAAGCAGTTTTCCCTATGTGGCTATGGCTTCTCTGAGATACTGTATGAACTCAGGATGTCTCCAATCATGTCTCACCAAACAAGCTTGGATAAGTGAGAACAGGGACAAATCCACCAGTTATTGTAGTCATACCCAGCCATGTGCACTTGTTTATTTAGGTGTACATACTGGTCCCAAGCCTGGATAAATGGGGAGGGTTAAGGAAAGACCTGAGAAGCTACTTTGTAAAAAATGTTCCCAAGAAAATTCCATGCAAAGGTTCTCAAATGATTTCAATATGGTGCCCGATTGTGAGACCCTCCATCCAGAAAGTACCCAACAAGTGTCGGAGGAAGAGCAAGGACCTGTAGCAAGTAGCTCTGGCTTCTATGATGCACCTAGGACAGATCTAGTAGGAAACACAAATGCTGATGCTACCCATTGTGAAAGCAAGACCTGCACTGTAATCTGCACTGCACGAAAATACAGCGAATAATAACTTGGAATGTCAGAGGAATGAACCAAGGTAAATTGGACATTGCAAAATGAGAAACGATCAGATTGACAATTGACCTCCTTGGCATTAGTGAATTACACTCGACAAAGAATGGTTACTTTCAGTCCAAGGAATATACCATTTATTTCTCAGGTCATGATAACATGCACAGAACGGGATGGCATTTATTGCAAGCAAGCAAATGGCCAAACCAGTGGAAGGCTTCTCCATAGTAAATGATTACATAATGACAACAGGAATTCACACCAAGCCCACCAACATTACTGTTGTTCAAGTTTATGCTCCAACGAATGATGCAACATTGCAAGAAATCAAGAATTTCTATGCCACTGTTGAAGATACATTGAAGACAATACCAGGAAAGGATATTATTTACTCACTTGGTGATTTTAATGCAAAAATAGGTTTCTAAAAAGAGGCAGAAATCACTAGCACTTTGGGCTGGGAGAAAAAAAATGACACTGGTGACTGAATGGCACAATTTTGCCAAGAAAATCAGTTTGAAGTCATGAATACATGATCTGAACAGCATAAGTGGCTGCTTATACACGTGGGCCTAGCCTAACAGACTATATTGCAATCAAAGTATGTTCTATGTAATCAGTGATGGACCAGCTCATTTCTTCCAGTTAAAACGCATCCAGGTGCAGACTGTGGTTCAAACCATGAACAGCTGGTAGCCAAGATCCGAGTCAAACTCTGTAACATCAAGAGGACAACATCAGTAAAAAAGTTCAATGTCACTAAATTCCCTTCAAATATGCCACTGAAGTTATACAGTGGTGCCTCGCTTAACGATTTTAATTGGTTCCACAAAATTCATCACTATGGGAAAACATTGCTAAGCGAAACGCATTTTCCCATAGAGATGCAGTGAAAACTGGATAATCCATTCCAATGGGAACGGATTGCCGTCCTTAAGTGAAAATCGCCATAGGAAACATCGCTAAGCGAAACACGGTTCCCCCATTGGAATGCATTGAAACCTTTTC